TATATATATATAATAAATAAAGATAGGTTCAATCTATATTTATTTAAATGATCTATTATAGTATAAATTGCAAAATCTAAGATTATTTAGTCAATTTATATAATGCGTTAAATTAACTGTAATATATAATAATTTTAGCATATTTTAGTTTACACCTAAGCCAATCTGTTGAGCTACATTTTGATTTTTTATTTTGATTTCTACATTGAGATAATTGTTAAAACGATTCTTTATCTAACTATATCGATATTTGTTCGCATAAACAACATTGCCTTTTGATTATTCTAACAAATTACATATGATTTATCTTAAACCCACGATTCTTATATTAAAACTTTAACGTATAAAATACTGTATACTAAAATATCAAAAGTATTAAAGAATTTAAAATAAAAGTATTTTTTGCTACATTTTAAAAATTATATATCAAAGAACTCCTGTATTATTTAAGAGTAAAATATACAGTTTGAAGTGATACATGAAATAAAATATACATAATATTTACACAATACATAAAACAAAATAGTACACAGCCTTTAAATTTTTATTATAGTCTTTTATAAATTACACATATTTTCAGAACGTAAAATCTTTTAATACTTTTGGCATTGAGCAATAAACAATTTGCTTTTTTTAATCAAGAATGATACAAAAATATTAGTACATTTGCATCGGCAAACGTTGAAATAACATTGATTTTTTTAACGTTTATTTTTAACAATAAACTTACGTTGATTTCTAAAATAATTAATTTAATAGTTTTTTGAACATATATCAATCAAATCTCTATGTTGAAATAAAGTTATGTGGTTGCTGGGTACATGCACATCTTTAAAAGTAAAAAAGAAAATTTTGCTTACAATTTTTAAGCGGAATATTTCAAAAAAATAAAATAAAATAAAAAGTGAGATAACCATGAAAGTTATCAATTACAAAAAATTACGTGAAGTTTTATCAAAAATAATGCAATATAAATAAGTATTTTGGGTTTATTAATAAATATTATAAAAACATAAAACAAAAAAGGAAAAAAGAATTAGTTACGAAACGTAAATAAAATGCAGTGATTTTAAATGATTCATTTAATTCAAAACGTTTTAGTTTGTTTTACAAAAACATACCTAAAATCTAGTATATCCATGATTAGTAAATGCCGTTTTAAATCATCATTAAAACTCTCCAAAGTGCAGTTTAAATCTAATTCTTGTTTTTCATTAAGAATTTTTCTAAACAAAACGTCCCTGATTGAACTCGGTAGGAGCCTATTTTTAAATGGTTATTCGGAATGAAAAAGTTGTTCTTCAAAAATTTGATAAGATATTTATGAGATTTTGTTAAAATAAAATTGAAATCTTACTTTATAAAACCCACATTTTCCTATAAACATAAACAATATTAATTGATTAATATTAATCTTATAAATTTTTAATGCTTTATGCTGATGTAAGAGAGGTTTACAAAGTTCATTTCTGTTTGTCCCAAATATTATTCTTCAAGCATGTTTTTGTTTGCTAAATACTTTTGAGTCTAGTGTCATTAGTGCTATCTCATGCAATGTTACAGTTAGAAAGAAAGTTGTGTATGAACAAAAAAAATTTATTTTCCAATGGTTCATTATTAAGAAACAGTTTTGTTCAATATAACATGGAAATACTTTACAAGATCTTACTTTCAATTTATTTAATATGGAATTTCTATGGCAATTTTTCATTTAAATGCACTATTAGAAAGTTTATAATTAACTCCCTTTTAACTATTATGTTATTTATTAAAAGATTGGGCAAACTAAGTTGAATACTGTCGGCTTTACTAGGTGTATGGAATAGGATAAACTTTGTTTTAGCTACATTTAATGATAGTCGGTTACTTATAAACTACTCGTTAATCTTATTTAATTCTTCGTTAAGTATTTTAAAAATAATAGTAGTATCTTAGTAAAAATAAAATAAATTAGTGTCATCTGCAAATAACATAATACTTTTTATTTTTTATGCTAAATATAAGTATTTTATATTAAGTAAAAATAATAATGATCCTGAATTAAATTTTTGGGGTATCCCAAAAGTTATAAGGTTGTTTTTTAAATCTTTTAACTCTTTAAGCTTTCTGTTAGTTTGAAATAATTTAAATCAAAGTAAACTTTTAAAACCATAAACTTTTTGTCTTTTCAAAAGTATCTCATGATTCACTTTGTCGAAAGCTTTGGAAATCTCTTTGAAATCAATAAACCCCAAATGAATAGCAACTACTATTAAATCGATTTAATATATGTTTAACGAATTCAAATATTTTCTTGTCGGTCGAATTTTTTTTTTTTTATAAAAACAACCATTCTACTGAAAAAAATAAAATATTGGGCAAAAATGAAATTATTGGTGTTTGGAATTACACTACGTAAGTGGAATAACTGCAAACGTAGATTGGGGTAATCACAAAAACTGTTGTGCAATAACAAATAAAACGGTAATTGTATACAATTTGCGTTTCCAGTTATTATAATAAGTGCAAAAATCATATATAAAATGTTGGAATATGCTCACTTTTGCCTGGCTTTACAATTGTAACGCCTAAACTAGCCTTCCATGGAGAAATCGTTGACTTTTATGGCAACTTAATACAACAAAAGTCTTTTAAAATTAATTTTATATTTTAAATTAAAAGAAATTTCAAAAAATTACACCAAAATATCAGAAATGCAATCCCAGACTTTCACTTAGTGTAAACTTCTCGTGCAACCAGGATAATGAAAGCTTTTTTTGTCTTGTTATTTTTACCAGCTTTTTATTTTTAGCTTCTTATTCCTTTCTATCTTTCTTTTTATTTTTTCTCTCAAATGTTTATCGTTGGAGAACTAGCAATAATGGTATAGTTTTTCTTTTTTAATATACTCAGTTTCTGTTTTTTGGCAAATAAGGTACAGAGATATTTTTTAAACAGTGTTTCTATTAAAATTAAATGTAAAAAAAGTTAAAAACACTAATATTTTTTCTGGTTGACGTCCATATGTTGACACTTTAGACGTTCGCTATTACGCCACTAAATTCGTTTATTAGATCTCAACGAACACAAACAGAAATTTTTAATCAATTAATCAATTGAAGTTATATTATTACGTATATAATAAGTATCTTAATATAACATACCTAAAATATAATACCTGTTAAAAACCCCTTCATTATGTTACTATCTAACAAAGCAAGACAAGTAGTGGTTTTACAGCCGTGCGCAGTAAAATAGTAGTGCGTATTTTATTTTTCTATTAACAAACTTTGAACATCAAAATATTTTTTTCTTTATTTTTTTTATTTTTTTTTTGGTATTGATCATAAACTAAATGTTGTGATTATAATAATATAAAAATAATTTAAGAAAGATAATTGCAACACTGTATGGTTTTACATTTCAGTATTATCGATTGAAGGTCATTCGTATTTTTTTTTTAGACTGTGCAATAAAATAGTAGTAAAAAATTAATTTTTGTGTAATATTTGCTGTACTTATTAAATTTTAATTATTATTAGTTCTTAATAAGTAATAAGAAAGTAATTATATTTGATATTAGATAAATTTATACACTTACTAAAATTTTGAAATTTAGAGGAACATGGGGCGCTCTGAGCATTGTACTGAAGAAGTTCGTAATTTTTTTTTTTTTTTTTTTTTTTATTTTACTTCACCTCCTCAAGGCCGAGAAGGCCACTACAGACGAGGAGGCTACTTATTATGTGGCTATAACCCTCTCTCAATTCTATAACTCCGAAACACGAACCTTGACGAACAAGGCCGCTGCGCGGAGAAACGAATTTAATTATAAATCTTAAAAATTATGGTAAAACCTTCAAACAAATACAAGAATTAGTTGGATGCTCACCAACATTGATTTTTAATGCTATAAATGGAAACCTAAACCAGAAAAACGTGGTAATATATGATCAACTACCGCTACAGAAGATCGTTGAATTGTATCGTTAGCGAAAAAGGAGCCATATATTGCCTCTAGAAAAATTCGAGAAGGCTAGAATTAAATTTTAATACCTCAACTATTCGAAAACGATTAATATATGCTAATTTAAATGCAAGCACACCTAGAAAAGTGCCACTTTTGAGTAAAAGACATATCGAAAATTGTTTAAAATTTGCACGTATGTATGCTTATTGGCCTAATAAAAAATGGCAAAATGTTTTGTGGGCTAATGAAAGCAAAGTTGAAATTTTTGGTTCCCATGTTCGTAAACAATATGTTAGAAGCAGCGTATAAGCCACAATTTACATTAAAAACCGTCAAACATGGAGGTTCAAAAATAATGATATGGGGTTGTTTTTCTTACTATGGTGTTGGGCCTATACATTGCAAAGAAGGTATCATGGATCGGTTTGTATATGAAATAATACTTGAAGAGATCATGCTACCCTATGCTGAAGAATAAATGCCGTTAAAATTTATGTTCCAGCTGGATAATGATTCCAAACATACGAGCAAGTTAGCCAAATCGTGGTTTAATAAGAACAAAAGCGATGTGATGGAGTGGTCAGCACAATCCCCCGACCTCAACCCGATTGAAAACTTGTGGATTGATGTTAAACAAGCACTTTCTGAAAATAATCCAAGAGTTTGCAATTAATTGTGGGATGTAGTATAGTCAGCATGGCAAATTATATCTGTGGAACGATGTCAGAATTTTGTTAATTCCATGCAACGAAGATGCTTGGCGGTTATTACAAATAAAGTTCATGCCACAAAATACTAATGTAGAGCTTCAAAAAAAAAAAATTTTTTTAATAAAATTTAATCAATATTTGACCTTTTCATAAAAAATGATTTTCACTACTATTTTATTGCACTGTCTAAAAAAATACGAATAACCTTCAATCAATAATGTTGAAGATTTTTTCAAGTACCTATTTCTATTATGCTTTTTTGAATTTGTTTAGAGTTACCCCGCGTTTGCTATTTTTCTACTCTTCCCTAAATAACTTTGAATTATTAATTTTCTTTTCAGATTTTTCCAAGTCCTTATGGAATGTTTCCAATGTAGTCACTCTAAATGGGTATGTACCTTAGTGTGATTCTGCGTAATTTTTCAAATTTAATTTAAACTTATTAAATTTAATAATTTTTTAAAGATATATATATACATATATATATATATATATATATATATATATATATATATATATATATATATATATATATATATATATATATATATATATATATATATATATATATATATATATATATATATATATATATATATAAATATATATATATATATATATATATATACATATATATATATATGTATATATATATACATACATATGTATAAAATATATATATATATATATATATATATACATATATATATATATATATATGTATATATATATATATATATATATATATATATATATATATATATATATATATATATATATATATATATATATATATGTATAAAAATATATATATGTATAAAAACTTTACTTCCTTTTTCAACACTATCAAATATGGCAAGCTCTCTATAAAACATCAATGTATTTCTCACTAGAACCAAACGATACCATTTATAAAAAAAAAGTTTTTAACTATATACCCTTTTATTACCAACATTCTTCTTCTTAATTGAAACCAAGTTTAAAAATTTTTATTTAAGTATATGTTTAATAAATATTAATTTTATTTTTATTTATTATTGGTTTTTTTTCATATCACTGTATTTATAAAACTATTATTACTTTTATTTTATCCTGTCTTTTTAAACTTTATTACTAACATTACTAGTATCATTAGGTTACCTTTGTTTTAGAAATCTTATCAATAGTATTTATAATGATAGTAATAGTATTTCCATTGTAGTAATAGTTTTATGGTTATTGTCATAATTTTTGCAAATGTTATGTTTAATGTTTTTGCTAATGTTATGTTTAAACTTTACTCTAATTATTTTTACAATAGTCTTTAAAATAAGACAAAATTTTTAGTAAAGTAATCATGATATAGTCACTTTTTGCAATGTTTTTTATTCATATTGCTATTATTTTTTATTATATTATTATTCCAAATATAATTATTGCTTTAATTTCTATCCTTTTTTTTTACCTCTATTTTATTGTAAATTTTTTCTATGTTTTATTTTTACTTTTGTTTTTGTATTTGTTTTCTTTTTTTAATTTTTTTTAAGTGTCACTTCATTGACTAGTTTTTATCTATATGAGTGACACCTAACTTTAGTTCGTAGTACATATATAATATAAAAAATATATATTCATGGTTGATAATACAAGTATAATCAAATAAAACAAACTAACGAAACATTTGTATTTACATTTAAAGTCTTTCAGTATATATACAGCATATATAAAATAAAATATATATTAACCAAATATTGTAGTCAATGCAACCTTTAATTATATTCAAATAAATGTATATAAGTAGTAAACTTAAATTAATATTGAATAAGGTAAGTCAATATTTAGGTATTTAAGAGCTAAGTATAATTTAAAAGTGTGTAAGTATATTATCAATTTAAAAAATTATCTTTTTAAGTTTTTTCTTGAACAAAAAAGTAACTCCCCATTCATGAGAAAATTTCAAAACTTTTTAACACAATATTGTTCCATAAGAAAGCACTTCATAATGATATCAAAGTTTAATTTGAAAATTGGTTGTTTAATAAAATATATAAATAGTATTGCGTACAAAGGTACGCAATCTGACGTCTTACTGAAATAGCCTGCTGCTGGGGGCTTTAGTACATACATCGACTGACAAATAGCCTGATTCGCAGTGGAGTGCTGCTACATTGACTAAGGGTTGGGACGGGGCAGCAATCGTTTCATTCATAATTTTTCGTTTTTGTTTTTCTGTTTTTAAAAAAGTTATGCGATGTGCTTCTGTTAACAATAAATTGGTTTTAAATTACTTTTGTAAGCGCTTCCCTGCGCAATATTGTCATAATTAATATGGCAATGTATAAATGAGTAATAAAGTTTAAATACTGATATTTATTTAAAACATTTCCTACTTTACACAAGCCTTCAATTTTTGTCAATTTTACTACATATGTTTTTGATATGATTTTTCTGAGATTTTCCGTTATAGTGAGATTGCAGATGTTACTTTTTGTTTTTGAATTTTATCAATATAAAGTAGAGACATATGACTTGGGAGTAAACGTTTTTTAAATGCTGGATAATATTTAAAAAACGTTTTTAGTCATTTAGCTGGAGTCCATTTAGTCTTTTTAATATTAAGTGATAGTTTGTTTGATTTGAACCAATTAAAGATTTTTGTTAACTCAATATTCATATCATTAAAAGGTTTTTTGATATTATTACATGATAAGAAGAAGTGAGTATCATTAGCAAACATAATAGTTGTTAATTTTGATGTTTTATAGAGATCATTTACATATATTAGAAATAATAAGGGTCCTTGTATAGATCCCTGTGAAAATCCACAGATTTTATTCAGAAAGTAAGGTAAAGAAGATTCTTCGACGTGGACATATTATTTGCAATTTTTTACGTAACATTTTAGTAAAATTAAAGCTTTTCCAGTAATACCATAAAATTCAAGTTTTGTAAAAAGAGTTTCATGGTTATCTATGTCAAACGCCTTAGATGAATTTATAAAAACGCCTAAAGCAAATTCTGATTTTTTAAATGATTCAGTTATGCTTTGCGTGAGATGAATTATTACATGTTCCGTTGTCAAGAGTTGTTTCTCTTGAAGCCATATTGATTCATGAAAAAAATTTTATTAACAGTCAGATGATTGTATATTTGGTTAAACAAAATTCGCTCTAAGATTTTTGAAAAATCAGAGAGGACAGATATTGGACGATAATTACTGTTATTTGATGGTTCGCCACCTTTAAATACTGGTGCAAGTTTTTCAATTTTTAATTGATCTGGAAAATTTTCTTGATTTATTGAACTTTTAAAAGAATAATTTTTATATTGTCGTATGAATCTATAACTATGTTATAATTTATATAATCAGGACCAACTGCTTTGTTAGTTAACAGCATTTTAAATGTGTTTTCAAATTCTGAAAAAGTAACTTCAATTTTATCTCATTTAGAAAGTAATAAAAAAGTAAAATCATTTATTGGATTTATCATATTAGGAGTACTTTTAGCTAAATTTGGTCTATCAGATACAAAAAACTTATTTAACTTGCTTGCTGTTTGTTTCATGTGTAAACACGCCATCTATTTTTAAAGTATTAGGTAAAGAGCACGTTTTTAATTTTTTTTTACCAGTAATTTGACTTATAATTTGCCGTGTACGTTTTGAACTAGATTTATCCTTCTCTAGTAAATCGCAGTAACATGTTGTTGTTTTTTTTGCCTTTTTTCTTTGGCTTTCAAATAGTTAAATGTATTTTTTTAACAGTTAATTTATTTTCAGGTGTTGCCTTTTTTAAGTATTTTATATAGCGTTTTTGATTTTTTTTTGACCCAAGGTGACTTGAAACTCTTATTGGTTTTTATAAATTGACGTTTTGAAAAATTTATATCGTAAATTATTATATTTTGTGGGCGCGTACAACTAATTTTTCAAAGTTCTTACGCTTATATTAAAGCATAAGCTATTATTATTATTATTGACAATTTTACTTAAATTTCAGGTGAATTTTACCTAATAATTTAAATTTTTGGTTTTTTTTGTATTTAAATAGAATTTACAAACTAATTTATTATATATAAATTAGTTTGTAAATTCTATTTAAATAAATACTAAAATAAATTCTTTTTAATCAAAAGAATACATTACATCAATTTCTATTTAAGTCAGTCAGTTTATGTGCACTCCACTGCTACGCCGGCTATATCAGTCAATCAATGTACGCATTGATCAACTTATTGATGTAAAAATATATAACAAACATAAGCATAAATAAACAATATAATAGTAAAATAACATAAAACTACATAGAAATAAAACATTAAAGTTTAAAAAACTACCTGAGGCGGATTTTGAGCCCCAACCTTGTTAGCCGCACCTCAAATAAGATTACTATATCACCATATGCACTATGGTAGTTTTTTTTTTTTTGGTTTTTTTTTATTTGCGCCTTAAAAATTAAAATGCTATTAGATTTTTTATGTTCAAAAAAGTTTTTACTATATGACATTATTTGTACTGCACATATAAATAATAAATTCTTTAATATATCGTATACAAGCAAAATAAGGTTTTGTTTATTAAACTATTTTATGGTAGACATGTAAAAATACATTAAACGAGGTACATGTTATCTTAATGTTTTCTTTGTTTATTAATGCAATTAAAACCATTTTTCGAATGTTTCTAACGATCAAAATAATAAACGTTTTTAATATTTATTTTCATTATTTTAGATATAGTTTAAGAATGAACTTGGAGATTTATCCCGTATTTAAAGTAATATTAAATGCTTATTTGGAATTTGAGTATTTCTTGCCACCATATTTTTACTTTACAACTGAAAATGTAATTCAAGGTTTTGTTAGGTCTGATGCCAATCGTATGAAGTACTTTGTAAGTATTTTATTTTTCTTCAATATAGTTAACTAAAGTTAACACATTTCTAGTTGTTCAATAGGGTGGAGCGATTTTCATAGCAAAAAAAAAAAAGTTTAAAAATCAATATTCCTGAGACACGAATCGATGTCTATTAATTATAAGATGAAAGTAAAAAAATATTTTTTGATTTTGATGAGATCTTGAGGTTCCTCTTTGGATTCTAAATTCTTGATGGGTCCTAATATTTTTAATTTTTTTTTTTTTTTGAAACCATATCAACCTCGGACTTAAAAAAAGCAGAAAAAAAGTTCTTGTTTTATAAATAATAATTTTATTTAAAAAAAATTTTTATTAAAAAAAAATTTGCAAAAATATACCTTAAAACCCCCGTTTTGATGAAGACGGGGGTTTTTTATGAAAAAAACAACACTCCTTTCTTATTTAGTTAAAAATTAAAACAAATATTATTTTCAAAATTAGCATATTATTCTGCTTCTTTTGAGTACCAAGTTGATATAGTTTAGAAGAAAAAAAATTTCAGCAATATTAGGACTCGTCATAAATTTAGAATCAAAAGAGGAACCTCAAAAACTCATCTAAATTAAAAAAAAAAAAAGTAAGATTCTTTTTTCACCATAAGACAATGATTCGCAGCTCAGGCAAATCAAATTTCAAAAATTTTTAAAATCGCTCCACCCTATTGTTCAAGTTTTGCTTTGAAGCATGATGTAACTTTTAGCAAAAACAATTCTCATATAAAACTATATAAAAGTGATGAATCTTGATTTAAAAACCCTTGTTTTATATTAACCCTTGCTTTATATTAACCCTTGTTTTATATTAGTTAACATAGTTCTTTTGGACACTAATTTATTATTATTATTATTAGCTAATAAAAAAATTCTTATTTTGAATTATTTTAAAATTGTCTTTTTAAATGCGGAATTTTCAGAGATAAAATAACCCAGGTTTTTACAAAATATTGATATTACATATGATAACTTTCAAATTTCAGTATTTTTGTGTCTTTTTTTTGCATATTATCTAATAAATAATATATTTTGTCAAAGAAAATCCGTGAAAAAAAAAAGTTTGGATCTTTGTTTTTGCGTGTCCTTAATGTGTGATTGATTAGATCATGTTTCTACAGAGATAGCCAGTATTTTATTTTATAAGTTTTATACATCAAATTAACTTATTATATAATTGTTTCATTATTATATAGCTTCTAGTAAATGCTACGAAGAGTAACAAAACTTCGTTTTGGCTTTTATAAAACGATCAACATTCAGAATATATTTTAAATTCTGCTAAGTAAGAACTTTCAAAAATCAGACATAAGAGATGGAATTCGACCTTAAAATGGAACAAAATTATCATTGAATACACTTATTAAACATTAATTAGACATTAATGTGTTATGTACTCCATTTATTTAAAAACTCAAAGATGTGAATTAGTAGATGAGAAATCAGAAACTTGCTTTGACCAATGTTGCTTTTTTTATAAAAGTTTTAAGATTAATTGTTGCAAGTTTGGTGTATCACACTGCAACACTAAAATAAATAAGCAAAATAAGATACACCTTTATGTTTTTATTTGAAAACTAAATTGTTGGCATTGAGTGAACAATTATATGCAGTCAGTTTTAGATATAAAACGACCTATTGATTGTTTTAGATAGATACCAATACGAAGGTGAGCCGAGTCGGCTATTAACACAAAACATCTCAAAAATAACGTTACAAACTTAATAAATAACATAACATGTTGGAGTATACTCTCGATGACTCAAACCTCCATTGGACCAAGAAATTAGCTTGTTTGAGAATATTAGAATTTTTTTGGAGTATAATCTAGAAATATTGGCTAAATTGGAATTTCAAAATTAGTTCAAGTTATTGAAGGTTATTGTTATCTTGAGTTTAATATTCATATTTTAACTACTAATAGCATACCCATAGAAATACAAACAAAAACATTTACATAATATAAATCCACATAATCTTGTATTACATGGAAAAACATTAACATATAGTAAATAACATAAATTACTACATTATATGACACATAATATTACTTATCCCATAATAATACCTATTACAAATATAACATTTAAAAATGAAATATTATTTGGTTAATATTAATAAAACATGTTAATTAATGTTAGGTTTCATTAAGTCACATTTCAATGTGCTTTGAAATGCGATTTAAGAACGCACTACGCGTTCTTCTTCAATATTCCAAAGATTAAAGCTCAGATACCATTTGAGGTTAAACAATCAAATCCAAAATTTCAACTGATGCTCTACTAGAGCAGGAAAGAAAACATTTAATTTTTCCAGCAATTCTACCATAAATTTTCAATATTTAAATGAACGCAAATCCCCACACATCAATGCGGCGTTCATGCATACGAACCACTAAAGCTGTATGCATTTCATTGCTTATGTTATTGTCAGCATCTAACTCTGTATGCATTAAGTATCACAATTTTTGCTTTTCTAAATCTCTAACTTAAATAGTCAACTTTCAATCTCGCATTCAAGACATTCCAAATCATTTACTTTCTCTACTCAACTTGTGTCTTGTTTCTGATTCATTGCTCAGTTTCTCAATATTCGCCCTTAGAAGCTTCTGATTATCTCATTCTTGTTTATATTCGGATTCCCCCTCTTAACGTACCTTTTACAACTACCTTAAAGTTGAATGAGATTCTTTCCGTGATTTTCTTGATGGCCCTTGGGTAGAAATCTTATGTCTTCCTGGTGACAATTGTGCTTCCTACAAAACTTTTTAAATTCAGGCTATCATAGAATCTTTTATTCATTCTAGAAGATTCCAAGTCAAGTCTTGTTCTTCTCATTTGGCTTTCCTTTAATTGTGCTGCTGCAATTTCCAATCGATACCATTATTTTTATATCTATCCGTAAAATAATTCTCTAGAAAACAGATGTCTATTTGCTATTAGTAGAAACCATTGT